GCCGATCTCTTGCGCATTCCCTCGATGATAGGGTCGATGGCGGGGCCCTAAGGTCTCCCCCCGCCTCCCCCTTTAGCTGAGGTAATTCTCACGCCGGTAACGTATCGCTGTTTGAGAGGATTTTCCTCCGGGTTTCTTCCCGCGGCATCTCTCCTTCGGGAACAAGCGGGAGGCTGGCCGGGCCCTCCGTAGTCTCCCTTCAGGATCGGCCCTGTGGTTGATTTGGCTCCCGGAGTCCTCTCGGTATCTATAATGTTTTCAACGCCTAAATTCTGCGCGAGATATATCAAAGTAAATTACGGATACTTGATACTTAACTGCGCGAGGTCCCGCGCTGTCTCTCTTCTACGCTCGCTCCATCCTTCTTTCGCGCTGCGGCACTCCGGCATCCTCCTTCTCTCTCTGGCTGCGGCACTCCGGCATCCTCCCTCTCTCTCTTGCTTCACATGTCTCTCTCCGGCTGCTCTCTCGAGCCGTCCTTGTCGCTCTACCTACCAATCGTGTCGCACGCGCATCGACAGGCCGATGCTGCGTGCAACTGCGATTCTCGCAAGAAATACGGTAAAACGGAATACGGAAAAACGACGGATCGCACCCTCCCCGAAGTGAGGGGCGCTTCAGATCTCCGCGGCCTACCCGATCGGGCTTTTCGCCCTTGTGACGGCGCTCCAAAAGCGTCACGTCACAAAGGAAATAAAAAAATTTCATTAATTTAAAAAAATATTTTTTAATTTTAAAAAATTATTTACTTTAGAATAAACGTAGTAGTTTTAATCTAAAAAAAAAATTAAAATTAAAATAAAAGAACCATTTTCTTAAATACAATTAATTTTTATTGTACTTAAAAAATGTATAAAATTAAAAAAATGTGTTATTTAAGTAAACTAAATATTCCTTTAAATTTAAATATTTTTTTTCAAAATATTATATGCAAAGAAATTATTTATTAGATTTAAAAAAATTAAAGTTTGAATTAAAAAAAACATCTAAAATTTAAAAAAATGTATTATTTAAATAAACTAAATATTTCTTTAAACACAAACTAATTCTTTTAAAGTATTATATGCAAAGAAATTATTTATTAGATTTAAAAATTATAAGTTAAATTAAAAAACATTAACTTAAATTTAAAATAGATAATATCAAGGAAAATAATTAATTTGTAATACAAAAAAAATATTTTTTAATGTCAAATATATATATTTTTTATTTTTTTAAAACCTTTTTTTATATTAAATAAATATTATATTATATTTTCTTATATCAAATATATAAATTTTTATTTTCTTAAATCTGTCTTTATATTAAATAAATATTATATTATATTTTCTTATATCAAATATATATATTTTTATTTTTCTTAAACCTTTCTTTATACTAAATAAATATTATATTACATTTTCTTACCTTACTCCTCGTTCCAAACGAAGTCCAAAATTTAAGTCCGACCCACTATCACTAAATTATCCGGCTCGAAAGATCAACAATGTTCTCGTCTCTTCGAATTTTAAACTTACTCGGGTGGAGGCTCGAGGAATCATGAGGGGTCGAGATTCCGGATCACTTTATTTTAGGGAGACTGCGATGCTTCCGTTGCAGATCCGCGTGTTAATACTTCGCGTTCTATCTCTCTTTCTCTCACTCTTACACACTCGAAATTTCTATCTAAGTACTCACGGCCGACAAACGCTCCGTAACGTTCCGGTTCTCATATGAGACTAGTATGAGCCGCGCACAGGAATCCTGCGGGTCCTACCTCTCGCCCTAAGCTTTCAGTTACTCAGGGGCGAGGGGGGACCCGAGGAATCCACAGAAAAAATTGTTTGTCGTCGAATTCACGAAGCCGACGTTAGGGCCAGTTCACAGCCCAACATTTATTTAATTTTAATTTTATATGCTGCTTTGTTTTTTTTTGCATTGTAATATTTGTTTGTATTATATTAAAGACTTTAAATATTTAATTATTTAACAGAAATAACAGATGACAGATATGAGATTTTACACTGAAAAAAATTGTTAACTTAACTAAATTGTTCAACTAAATAATATTTTAATAAGAATATTTGTCAGTCAGCTCTCCTATTTTTTAAAAACTCCATCTTTATCTCGACTAAGAGCCAAACGCGATGTTAATGCGACAAATTAATATTTAGAAAATTTTTTTGGAAACTGAGGAATTTGAAAATCCTATGGTTGGGATCTCAGAAATTCCCCTGTTCCTTCTTAAGAGAACCTTCTATAAGATCAGTTGCAATAATTGTAATGCATCTTATGTAGGCCAAACAAAGAGGCAATTGCAGACGCGAATAAAAGAACATAAAAATAATATTAGGTTGGACTCAACGAAACATTCAGTAATTTCTGAACACATAATAAATGAACATCATACTTTTAATTGGGACAATGTTAAGATCATGGACAACGAAAATAATTATTATAAAAGACTCATTTCTGAGATGCTACATATCAAGGAACAAAAAATGGACTAAATTTAAACAAAGATACTGAGTTACTTAGCGAGTCGTATTTTGATATTTTGGATATATTAGCGAACAAGAAATAATAATAGGACAAATAGGACATTAACGAGTAAAACATAGATATTAGATCATATATAAACACGCACGCTCTCCGATCAAGTAGAGTTTAAAATGAGCTGTCTTTCTGTATTGTTGGTTTGTTATGTGTCATCCTTAATAACTGTTAATAAGTAGCAAAATTGTCAAGAAGAACGATGATAGGTAAGCATACTACCAATTGTAGGGGATACATATTATAATTTGGACATACGTTGATCGGTAATTTTTATTAATCGCAGCGCCTACGGAACGGGTTAATTTCTCGCATATTAACGATGAAACTATCCGAGATCTGAACAAAATCAGGGATCATATCGAGGCGAACATTGTTGGACAGGACGGATTGAAACACGCGTTAATTGCTCAAAAACTCTTGATTCTGAATAACTATAATTAAATTTCGATATTATGTGAATTGTAAGAATTTATATTTCAATAATTATACTGAAGAAGACCGCGTGCGGTCGAAACGTTTATAGAATGATTGTAATTTGCGTTAGTTTTAATATAATGACTGTAGTTTTATAATTTATACATGTAATAAATGGTAGTTGACTGAACATCTCGAATATTCAGCTCGATAAGTTGGCCTTATATTTATCACTTTGTTTGCAATATATATATATATATATAGCCGCATCTATTATAAATAACTTCTATAATTCTATAGAAGTTATTGAAGATTACTTATTATTTAGATTATACATAGATTATATTTATAATTTAACACACACACACACATTAGATGCAATTATTATATGTAGATTAATATAAAATAGATATAATCATTTATGATCTAACATTTAACTTCATCTTTATTTCAGTAGCATGCATTTATTTATTTTTTTTAATAAATTTGTTTTTTGTATTGTACATTTATTACAAGGCTGTTTTTATAATGAATGAGTGTATTCAATTTTTGTCAATTATTATCAAATAATCTAACACAAATATTTATTTATAATACTATAGGAAAGGAATTATTTAAACTAACACAGTTTTCATTGAAAATAAATTTTATTGCTTAAATTTTTGTGCAAAATAAAAAGAAAACAAAACTAACATTTTTTATTGCACTCTTTAAAATTATGGCACATTCACAAATCAATATTATATATTGCACATATCAATATTATATATTACTGATTCAATAAATGACAGTATAAAAAAAATAATATTCTCAACAATATATCTATTCTATGAATATTTACTATAAATAAAATATTTTATTATGCACTTATGATCGAAGCTTATTACTGAATTAGTTTTTATATATATCAATATGTTCTACGAGGAAATAAAAAAATAAACAAAAAAATCAGCAAAAAAAAAAAAAAATAAGAAAAAATATTATTTAAAACCTGTAATTGGTAAGAAGCAACGTTATATATAAACCTATATAATTGCTTAATAATTTAAATGCTAAATTAAATTAAAAGTTGAATATCTCAAGAACTATTGATTTCCATATTATTAGTTTGCAGTAAGTGCCTTAATATTTTTGTCCTTAGAACATTTTCGATATTATGAACATTTTATAAAAAAATTTTTTAATTTAAAAGAAACTAAGTCACTCTATATATTATTCTCGACTTTTATACATATACTTTTATACTTTTGTATATCGAACTTGATAAAATGTTTAAATGTAATAATTAAAAATATAACGTTTTACTAGTTTACTTGTTCTTCATTGTCTGATGCTGTAGGATTAAGCTGCATGCAATTTGCGATTTCTGCAACGTCAACGTTTCCACATTGTAGTTCCAAAATAATGGCGTTTTCTGTATCTTTCTGAATTTCATTGCGATAGCGTGCTGCAGCTTGTCTGAACCATTCTTGCACACGAAATTGGAATTTTTTTTCATCCATATTAATACAACGAGCCAGCAGTGAACCTATACAGCAATATTAACTTACTTAATTTGATAGAATGTATATGCAAAATACGTACATACATATATATATTATATAAAAAATATATGTATATATATATTTTTTTATATAATATATTAAGTTTAATTACCAAGTCTGATAATGTATTCACAATATTTAGAATAAAAATGTAATAATAATTTTGTTTTACGATATTTTTACATCAATATAAAAAATTATTATTATTTAAAATATGTTCTATATGTATATATTTATTTGAAATGATATATTCTATTACTTACGATACATTATGTCCATTATTTTTAAATTACATAATTTATATTTTTCTTTACGGCCTTGCCATGAAAATTCAGTGGCTGGTTTATTACTGAATGTCTTTATTAGAGATCTTTTCACTGTTTCATTTGGATCAAGTCCTCCAATTGTATCAAAAACGCACTCTATTTTCAATAAAATAATAATAAATAATGCATATATGTAATATTTAATTATTTATAATTTAAAAAAATAAAAACTTACCAATTGAGTTTCTTTCTCGACGATTTCAAGTTCGTTTTCCAATTGATGTAATTGCTCTTTCGTTTTTAATGGAAAAATCGAATGTAAAGCAACAACAGCTTGTGAAGCAACGGTACATTTTGATAGCGGTAGAGTAATATCTTGACTTTCTTTTAATTTCGAAATTATACCACACATGCGTTGGATATCCATCTTTATATTTGTAATATCCATTTTTATTTCTTTTATGTCGGTACTCATAATATTTGTGGTTATTTTCAAATCTCTTATTTCCGTTATTGTGTTTGTCATTAGCATACTTAAATCTTGAAGATCAATGTTAAATTCTTAATTTTATGTAAAAAATGTATATTACATAAAATGTATATTACATAAAATGTATATTACATAAAATGTATATTACATAAAATAAATAATTAATTTTAATAATTAATAATTATATATTACGTATATTTAATAATTATGAAATTATTTGTTTTAACGGATTCAGTTTCAATGATTAATTTGGACTTATCAATGGCTGCGTTCAAAAAAACCTGCTTTACAACTGTTGTAAAATTCGTGAATCTGATTGGTGGATGCTCTTAGATTCAGCTAAGATTAAGAGCATACACCAATCAGATTTACAAATTTTACAATTGTAAAGCTGCTTTTTCTGCTGAACGCAGTCATTGTCATGATTTTGAGCAACCTTTAATGACTTTGAACGGTCGCGTTGGTCATTGTTTATATATTGGAAAATTACCTATAGTAATTAAACTTGTTTCATAGAAGTTTAAGGTTAAATAAAAATTTGATAGGATTGTGGAGTATACAGGAAGGAGACTGTACTGTTATTATATCGCATGAAGTTCCAAATGGAGCCAAACGATTATAGATCAAGTTTTATGCAGAAAATCGGTCAGTGAGGTAAAGATTTGTTTGTATCAAAAGTTAATAAATGTAATGATTGCCAACCTCATTTTTTATGCAAGTAGGGTCGTAGGATAATATTAAGATTCATATGTTTATAACTTTTATAAACAATGGCCAACGACTAAAATTACTTGATAATTGATCAGAACTATTTATAATCACATACATATATAGAACTATGAGAAAAAATTATATAAAACGACCAAAACTGGACAAAATATATAATAATTCTTTATTGATTTAAATCATGACGTTTCGACCTCTGGTTTAGGTCTTTATCAAATGAAAAAGTGTGTTTAAGATGACATTATAATTATAAATTGCGAAGTGAGAATTACTTATAATATATAAAAACTTGTTTTATAAAACGACTTGCCAGTTACTGACAAGTTGTTTTATAAGACACAAGTTTTTATATATTATAAGTGATTCTCATCTCGCAATTTATAATTATAATGTCATCTTAAACATTTTTTTATTTGATAAAGACCTAAACCAGAGGTCGCAACGCCATGATTTGAATCAATAAAGAATTATTTTGTCCAGTCTTGGTCGTTTTATATAATTTTTTCTCATTTTTCTATTACTGGCGACTTTGATATACACTTCAAATTAATTTTAATATATAGAACTGTTTCTTAATAATTACAATTTTTTTACTTATACATGAAACTTTACTTTAATATTTCTATTTTATAAAAATTTTTAATAATTTATTTATATTGAAATAGTGAATAAAAATAATTATACATATTTTTAATTAATACCTTCAAATGAACTTTTATATATTTCACTATTATATACTTTTCTTATATACTTTTCTTTGTTTTGGCATGTTAATTCTTGTATAAAATTGTTTTCTTTGTCATTGTCATCCATATCTGTGTTCATATCTGATACATATTCTGCTTTATCACATTTTAAACAGGCTTCTTCATAAGTGTCTACAATAAAAAAGATACATATATTATTTTTATTATACTATACACACACTCATATGTATAATTTTATTTTGAATTTATTACGACTTTTTATTGTAATATGTGTATTTTGAACAATTCATAATTTATACATTACCGCATACTGCAAATGTCCTTAAAATGGCATAATTTTTCCAACTTGAATCCGGTTGTACGTTATTGATAACGACTTTATCTTTCTTTTTCTTGGATTTAGTTGCAGGATATTTGCATATATTCTTATCTTTTACCCATGAAGATGGAACAATTTCAAGCCCATCTTCAAATTCAACTACATGATATTTTACACTTTAATTGCTCATCATAAGTGCTTTTCTAATTTTAAGATTTGCTGTCAACAATAAAAAAAACATGAAATAAAGTTAACATAAATATGCCTTTTCAATTTATGTAATAAATTGAAGTTTATAAAATCAAATTCAAGAGCTGCTTTCACGACAGAATCAAAATGAATTTAGATTAAAATGATCTTGAACTGTGATTGGTCAAATCTGAAATTTCATTGAATTTCATTCAACAGAATTTCAGATTTGACTAATCACAGTGCAGGACCATTTTAATCTAGATTATTTTGATTCTGTCGTGAAAGCAGCCAAGATAGTAAACAAATCTTATAATTTGCTTATAAACTATAAATAATTTTAAATATATGACGTAATATCATAAAAATATAATTTCAAAATATTTTATTTAATAATATATTGACGTATTATAAAAGGATATTTTACTAATATATACATACGATGATGTTTCGCAATGTAACAAAGGTATTGCAGCATAATATTTTCCTTGAGGAAATAACATAATTTTCTTTTCAATGTCGGAAACAGACCAGGTTTCAAATTCCAATAAATTTGAAACTCGAAAGCAATTGAATAATGATGATGGTAGTGGACTTTTATATACACATTTTTTTTTTGGAAAATTTTTTTCCAATTATATAACTGTTTCCAGATATTGACGTCGCAAAATTTGAAATTAAAATAATAGAATCATCTTTCAAAATACAACAGTTATTGGGACTTTCTGTTGTAAGGATATATTTTTCGAAAAATATTTTCGAATATTGAGGATTATTGTAGCCATAGAGAAGAGGTCCCTTACAATGTATACCATGAAATTTTTGTTTAGATAAATGTGACAATTTTTCATTAATATCTTCACATGCTTTAAGTTCTGCATATCTATTACATAATTGTTGCAGTGGACGATCAGCTTTTCTAATCAAGGCTTTTATAGTTTTCATATAATTTTCATATTTAAATGCACTAAATGTGTCAAGTGTCCCAAATTTTCGTACATCATTAGTCAAATGTAATAAATAATGAATATTGTGGGACACTAAGTGCTTGCCGTATATTTTTTCGAAAGATCTTACAAACTGTTTTAGATATTTTTCAGCGTTATTAACTTTTTCTATATGTAATTTTGGGCATACTAGAATTCGAATGGCAGTATGTAAAAGAATAAAATTGTGTATATATTTAATGGTAAATTTTTTTCAGAATGTATGGCCCTGTATATAATAAAAATTGTCGCAATTCAGTTGCTTTCCATTTACTAACATCTTCCAAATTACGAGGTTTTCTCGAAAATTCTTTTGGAATATAACTTCTTATATTTTTTAATGAATCGGATATTTGTTTTACCTTAAATGCTGGTAATCTTACTTTTAAAGAGCCACTTAGCCATAATTTTATCAATTTCTTTACAACACCAATACATATTAGATGCATATAATCTAAAGGTATGTTGGTAACTAAACCAAAATCTGGTATTTCTACTAGTTTACAATATTCTTTGTGATAATTTTTATCAAATTGTTTACTTGCAAGTTCATTTGTCCTTTCTTGAAAATTAGTACCAGGAAAACAAACGCGATTCATAATATAACTGCCTTCAATATTACATTTCAAGCAACTATGATATCCACTGTGCCCTTTAGTTGAAGTTAGAAATGATTTTGCGGGAGCATCTGCTATTAAACTATGAATTGAAAATTTTATGACTTTGTTATTATTTAGTACATCGCTCCCATATAGAATTTTACATTCTTCCACAAAGTCTTCTAAAAATAAATTAGAATCAGATGGTTTAGACATTCCGAAGTAACAGCCAATTAAAAATACTTCAGAAAATGGTACAATTGAACCAAGTATTGGCCACAACTGATTTTCGGAAGATTGAGATATAGGAAGCCCATCGATGCCTACTTGAAGTTTTATATGATTTTCATTTTTATCTTCGTAACGTCGAAAATAAGATTCAAGAATAGGTACAATGCCAAAATAACAAAATTGTCCTGGTGACATTTCACAAACATTTGTTGTACGAGGAGTTTTTAAAAGAGATTTTGCATGTTTTGGCAAATTATTAAAACATGGGTGTTGTTTTAAAATTGATAGTAGTGAAGTTACAGACAAGGGCGTCCGCAGAATTTTTTCAAGAGGGGGCAATTTTTCCATCCCAAAGTTTTAAGAATTTTATACATTTTTTGTTTCTTTAATCATATACACCTTTTCGTTAAGAAGCTTTCTCACCGCGACAAGGTAGGTGTATGCAGAGAAAGATTTGTTATCTTTTTTTATTTTTTTTTAATTATATATATATTTTTTTATTGTTTTTTATTTAATTTTTTAAATTTTATTGAAATTTTTTTTAGTAATTTATACATATTTTATACTTTTTTTTAAATTTTGTTGTTTATTTTTAATTTTAAAAATTAACAAAAATGTATTAATGTTTTTAAATTATTTTAATAATTTTAATTTTTTATATATTATATATTATACGTTTTGATCTTAAAATTATATTTTAATTTTATGTTATATTTGTGTTAGGAAATGCAAGTGCAATTCTCCTATCATCGAGAGCAAAATCATCTATTATTTTTTTAATAAATTCTTGACCTTCCTTTTTTATTTGTTCTCTGTGTACACTTAGCATGCAAAGACCGCTGATACGATCTTGGCACATGGTTGATCGTAGCCAAGTTTTTACTCGCCGTAACGTACTGAAGGATCGTTCAATGGTGGCTGTAGTTACCGGTAAAGCTAAAGATTTAAGAAGCAAAGTTTGTATCTTAGGTACAAATTTTGCAGCTTTAATCATATCTTCAGCTGTAGATAAATCAGGGTTTGAATTTACTATTTGATACTAAACACGTTTTTCTTCGTTTAAATTACATTTGTAAGTCTTTTCGATAGATTGAAATATATTGTTGCATTGATCGTGATTAACTTTACGTAGTTCTTGTGGGTAGATATTAAAGAGCTGAAAAACGGTGGTATTTTCTTCTGAAAATCTCGTATTTAATGAAGTTTTAATTGAGTCAATATATGGTAAAAATACTGATAATTTATAATAAGTATGTGGGTCATTTGTATATAATTTGCTCTTTTCGTTTGGTGAATAGCAGTTCGAGGTATTTTTAATTGAATATCAAGCTCGGTGCACAAATCCTCACATTCTTTGTAAATATGTGTAAAGACATCACTCTGTCGATCGTGGTCTAATATTGTAACCAATTGTTTAATATGATTTTGAGCATCAATTAAATTGATGTCTTTATCTTGCAATTTAAGTGTAATTGGTTCCAATAAAGTTAAATATTTGGAAATAATAAATAAACATATCACAAACGATGGCTTTGTGGCAGCACAATAGAGCATATAGGACTTAGTTTTAGCATCGCTTGTACTATTCGAAATTTTATCAAGTTCGTCCAAAATTTTTATAAATCCCTCTTTAAATTTACGAATAGATTTATGTTGTTCACACCATCGTGTTTGACAAAGCATTGGAATTGAAGGAACTAACTGTCTTCGAATGTTACTCTCCCTGAAAAATTTAATTATTTCTTTGATTATTCCAATTGCGTTTCGAATTTCTGGTAGTGCATTCAAGTCATTGATTACTAAATTTAATCTATGTGAGGCACAATGAATAAAATTAATATTTGGGTACTTGCATTGAATAATGGCTTTTACTCCATTTTCTTTTCCTGCCATGGTTGAACACCCATCATAGCCTTGATCCACACATTTTTCCATATTTAAATTTAATTTTTGGCATTTTTCCAAAATCACATTTGCAATGGAATGAGCGTCAAATTTTTTTAATGCAACATATCCCAAAAATTCTTCATGCAAGGACAATTTTTCGTTCTGAAAAAAAGCAAATCTGATTCCAAATGAAAGTTGTTCAATTCCAGCGATATCTGCTGTTTCATCGGCTAAAATCGAGAAGCCTTCGGATGCATTAGCTAATTTCACTATATCTTTAGTAATAACTTTTTCGCAAATGTTGATTAACTCATGCTCAATTCTCACTGAAGTGTATTGAGCATTCTTTGGCCCTTTCAAGTGCTCTTTTAAAATATTATCGCCAGATTCAATTCGAAACTTCAGCAAATCTCTGAAATTTCCTTTATCCGATTTTTTACCGCGCAATGGAAGATCATGTGTACCACAAAAGACAATTGTAGATATAATGGGCTCTAGTTTCTTTCGATTTATTTCAATTAATTTAGCTCTGGAATCGGAAAAGATTAATAATGCTTACTTTTTTATTTTGCATAATATGAAGAAAATTCGTACCATCTTCAACGGCACTTATATGCCATTGTGATTTTTCGTGATTATGTGCAGCTTCGTGGAATTTCTTATATTTGTTAAACGCTTTATAAAAAAGCACCTTGAAAACCTCTATGTACATTTTGTTTAAAAATAACGCAAAATTTGCACAAACCATCTCCAGAAATTTCAGAGTATGCTAACCATGAATATAATTTTAACCAATCGGCACGAAAATTTCGCTGTTGCCCTTCATTTTTAAAATTATATTTTTCCGAAGGAACCCAAATATTAGTCATTACGTCATATTTCTGCTCGTTAGATAATTTTAAATTAATATAATGTCCTATGTCGTATTTTTCAAAATTTTGAGAAACGATTATATCGGCAGTAAGAGTATCTTGAACTGATGTGAAAGGATCATTGAAAGAGCAAACACTAACTGATGGCATGGAGGTGGAAGGAAAAGATTCTTCTTGAGAACTATCATTTTCAAGTCTGGGTTTTTTAAAAAACGATCTTATATCTTTATTCATTTTCAAGGATTAAACAATTAATCAATGTATAAAATTTTAATATTCGCAAATAGTCGCGGGCCTTAAAAATCAGCGTAAGAGAAAGAAGAGCCACGTAACGTAACTCACACTGCGTAAACGAACAGCTTCTAGAGCTGTCTACTTATAATATTCATGGCTGTACTTTGCATACGAGTAAAGCGCTGTAAGCATGCGACGCCTAGCGACCAGAGTTGCAAGATTCCAACTCGAGAGTCATAGAGTCATAGCGGTGGGGGAGCACGCATACAGTGAGAAGACGTGTCCGTGAGCGCTCCGGCATCTACGGACATGCCTTCTCGCTGTGTGCGT